AGTACATGTGAAAAAGTTAATTTTAAAATACATACTACAGATATACAGCTGTGTGGGGTGCCGTATCGCGCAATATGTTGAAGTGTTTTAATTGTTTGCCGTTATGAATGATCCGGTTTTTTGAAGCTTTTGACATTGGCAAAACTGCAAGGAGAACTGTTTACAGGGCCGTCGAATCAGTGGGATTGTAACCAGCATTCTCAACGATGTCGTTTACCACTTATCAGCAGAGCAGGTACTTATGCCGATGTGCGCAGCTTTTTATGCCACGAAAACATGTGTGCCTCGTTGTTACTACGAAGATGGAAAAAGGTTGTTTTTACATAGCGAGAAGAAGTCATGATTTATCTGAAAAGCCTCTTGCTGAGCGAAGAAAACCTGAAGCTGGAGATAAAAGCCGGTGGAACAACGTATCTGAACCGCGCTTTAATTCTTAAGGTGAACAGTTAACTCTGGACTCGTTGACACGACGAGGTTAGCGCTTGTAATGAATATAATAAATGTTCTGCTTGTTTTACAGATAACTGCATTTATCGCCACTATTACCTTGATCACAACGGAACTGTACTCGAACGATGAGCAGTTTCTTCGCTCACTCAACAACATGAGCCAAATTATTCACTGCGCTTGTTGACGTACTGACTCAGTATTCTTGTGCCAACGTATCTACCCTTGCATAAAAACCAAATTTGTGTTCCGGAAGTTGTCACTTTTCTTGTAAAGTAAGCGTACTACCGTAATTTCCATGTGGCCGCTTGAGCCGTGAAGTCAATCTTATACTAATTGTTATCGTTACGGTTACACTATAATTTTCTTATACAGGTAGCAATCGAAGGCATACGATATCAGCTACTTCATAAGATGTCTTTAGATAGTGCAAACTGCAAAGTACATATTAATTTTCTTTGAGGCGACAAAATAAAAAAACGGTTCGAAAAGGAAAAACAAATTGCATTACTGCACAAAACATGTGTAGTGTAAACTTGTAACACATCGCACATGCATAATTTTAAGGTTTAACGGCAACTGAATTTTTCAGCTAAATAGAAACCTCCGTGAACGATCGGAACCCTGAGTACTGCATAACCGCAGCGGTGCTGAATCGGTTACCCAACGTGGTTACTTAGGCAGTACTGAAGAAGCACTTATGTAACTAACGGAATGGCTTCCCACTCATGACAAATTTGCTTTTTGAAGATCTGACAATTATTGTCTCTAAATTTATGCGCTTTAATAAAGCAGCAATTATTGTGAAGAAAAATTACCGTTGTTTGACTGGGTTTCGACGAAGTGTTTATTGGAAAACCTAGAATGTGGTGCCAGTTTACCAACCACTGCAAATATTCGGTTCCGGGTTTGTCCATTATTAGGCAGTATAATTCCATTAAGGCGTGAATTATCTCGGCCGTTTTGCGCTGCCAGGCAAAATTCCTTCGCCCAACATGAGGTGCTATAAAAACCAAGTGAGCTTACGACTGCAAAAATAACAAAAGTCGCCCAATCGCTTTCCAGTACTTTGTAGTACCACGGTCTCCCTAAAAACCTTTACAATGCATAAGTTAACTGTTGTCTTGATCGTCGCCGGTTTACTGGCCGGCGCATCCGCCAATGCCGGTTTGGGTGAATGCTATAAGTTCATGCATAAAGTACAAAAATTCCGCGGCGAATCTTGCAACGCCTTCTACATGATGTGCGATGGATCTTTCTCCCGCAAAGACTGCTCCTTCGGCCTGTGCTCCACGGATTTCGAGGTGACCTGTCCACTGCCGGGCCGGGCCGATGTGCGAATCAATTCCCAAATGTCCTGCGAGGAAGTGAACGGCAATGCCACTGCGTTGCAAGAGCAGCTAAACCCATGCTCCAACCGATTTTCATGATTGTTTTAAAATGAAAGATCATTTTTTGACCAGTACTATTACTAACGTTTCAAGTCGCCGGCATACTACTAAGCTGAAATCTGCTAAAATGCTCTTTACGGTTCTGTGGGTCTACAGATTTATGTTTGACTTTGATGAGACCAAGTATACCCATTTAAGATTAGCATCCCGCAATTCCGCTAAATCTTGGGTGTGATTTGTTCAAAATAAAGATATCTGAATTCTGAAGTTTCCATTTTTTTGCTATGAGAAACTGGGATCCGAAGAGCATGTAATATATATTACAGTATTCGCTTCAGGCTCGAGTAAATCTTGTGGCAAGCAAACCTGACTACTACACTGCTACGATGCAAAGATCACCGCGTAGCGATGCGTGCAATATACTCGCCTACTGCATGCACCTGACGTGAGTGCTGCCTGTGTGTTTGCTGCATACTTGTAGTTCTATCTACCGTATTTATCGAATTAGAAGCCCAGGGTTACAAATATTACAAATGACCCACGGGGTGGGCTCCAATTACGGGCATGGGCTTGTATTTAGGGGGGGGGGCTTCAATTTTTCAAACCAGCTTTTTGGCATTTTTTAACATGGGCTTTACGCTATTTAATTAAGCCCATGGGCCTCTATTTCGGGGTGGGCTTATAACTTTCAAACGACCTTAGGGGTGGGCTCTAATTACGGGGGGGCTTCAAATTCGATAATTATGGTATATGTGATGTATAGGGTAAAAAAGTAGATGCGTTTCGCACGTTATTATTTTGTAAGTTTTGCGCAGAAATGTTCCTGTTGCACATTACTTGTTGATTTAAATAATTTTATTTAATAAGTTTTCCAACCCTAACCGGCTTGGCCGATTCCAACCTTTCTAGTCTCACACTGTAAATATACGTAATGGTGGCCGGTGGGTTTTTCAGTTTTCTGTGCTTGGGACTAATACATTTCGCTGTACCTATATCGTACCGAAATGATAAGTACCAGTGAAAAACGTTTTCTTAAAATTACGTACAGTGCATATACAGTGATATGTTTTGTCTCATTTTCGCAAAACGGAAACACCCAGTTTCGCATAAACAACTGTCATTGTTGGGAACAGGCATTCAAGTGTACTGTGCACCTGCTGTACAATGGTCTGCAATTCAAGGAAGTATGGATCATCCGTCACGCAACATTTTAGACGCGTATTCCATAAAGCTAACAATATATACCTCGATCAAAAATTTATATGGCATCGTGCAAGCGACGTCCTGCACAATAATGTGTGCGTGCATATTTCCCAAATACTGTCCTGCACAATAATGTGTGCGTGCATATTTCTTGGTTTTTCGCCTATTCTCGGCAGCGTGAACCAAACGTTTTGCTTGCCGGTACACATAGAAATAATACGTATTCGTGTGAACACACCTGACTTCAAATAAAAAGTCTAAAATCAAAGATCACACAGAGAGAATTATTTATACACGGCAAAAAAAAATCCTGTTCCGCTAGAAACATGCAAATTGAAGAGTGCCGTAGATGAAACAATGCAGCAGTGGTGATGTACAGATAGATTCGAGCAGCAGCAGCTTTTTAACACTTTCGAAATTGTTTCTGCACGAATGGTAATTATATTTTTACTGAAATTAACAAAATGCAAAGATTAATTTCTACTAGCTCCAGATACAAAACAATTAGGTGGTATCTGTTGACTAGAGTATGTTGATGCTGTTATTTTTCTGCAGGAAATTGTTTAAAGAGATTATAAACACCATTTATCTGATATTAATCGTGGCGTAAACTACCTATTCACCGGCGCAGATGCATTAATTATCACGTAGGTTTGTTCAACGTGTACTTATGTACGTGTACCTTATGTTGCAGTCAATTTTGAATGTCTGCAGGTTGACGCTGTACCATACTTTATAGTACTAGCAGTCTGTATTGTTCCAACAGCGAAGTTGAATCTAATGGGTGGGTAGTTATGTAACCGAAATGAATTTTCTCGTTCACTGAAATATTGCTTTCTAACGACCTGACATGTGCTGGCGCCAGATTAATGGGTTTATCAGATACTTCGTTGTTGTAAACAGTAGCAGTTTGGTTGCATTTAACGAAGACATTAATTTCGAAATCTGGGTGCGGTGCCAGCTTAGCAAGCCTTTTAACTTTTAAGTATTCAGTTCCGGCTTCGTCCAGCAGTCATCAGTACTTCTATAATTCCATTAAGGCGTGAACGATCTCGGCCTTGTTGTGCTGCCAGGCAAAATTCCAGCGCATACCTATCTACATGCACTCGTACTATAAATAAATTGCTTTTGCTTTCGCCGTTGCAGAATGTTCAGTCGCTTACCAGTTGGACCGTTTTCTAATTACCGGTGTGCCGCCACTTGAACAATGCACCAGTTAACTGTTGTTTTTGTCGTTGCCAGTTTACTGGCTGGCGTATCAGCTAATGCCGGCTTGGGTGAATGCTACAAGTTCATGCACAAGGTGCAGAAATTCCGCGGTGAATCCTGCAACGCCTTCTACATGATGTGCGACGGATCCTTCTCTCGCAAGGACTGCTCCTTCGGCCAGTGCTCCACCGACTTCTCGAGGACATGTAACCTGCCGGGCAAGACCGACGTGCGCATCAACTCTGAGATGAGCTGCGATGAAGTCAATCGCAAAGCTGCCACGCTGCGAGCACAGTACGACGCCACACCCGACTGCAGTTAGGACGTAGCGTTCCTTGTAATTTTTAGTGTGCATTAAACTTTCAGTGGACGTTTTCTTTCTCAACACTTTGTCGACTGGTTTAGAGCGCTTTGAATTTATTCTTCGCGATGCTGCGGCTATTATCTGTAGCCAAGTTTCTTTTTAGCAGTTCTATGACCAATTTCACAGCGAATGGTTTTTTGGGGAACCACATGTGACCCCTAGGTGCGATAATATGGTTATTAAAGAACATGGTGACCTGTCACAACAAATGAATTCTACTATAAAAACCGCAATCAGTTATTCAATTTTCGTAAAAATTTTATTCCATGTCACTGACAAGATGTCAGCAGAATACAGTCGTCGAACGTTTAACAGATCTGTGGTAACCGATGCTGAGCCGCTGGCTGCAAACATTGCTGCAAAATTCTGCTGCTGAGAAAAAACTTTATAAGCTGATAAAGGAAGATGCTTGTCAGCCGAACGAAAGATCAAAATTACTTATGCCATCTATTTTTTTAAAGTCAACGTTTCCTGTCTACAGGAAGTAAGCACTTTTCGCTATTTTCGAATACCACAAAAATGAGGAATAATTTTCTGAATAATTATTGCAGAAAGAAGCTCGGCATTTTTCGTTATTATCTTAAATACACCAAAGCCACAGACTTGCTTAAAGTTCAACACGGTTCTTTTAGTGTTCTGTTATAAAGTCAGTGTTGAATTCATACAACACCAGCAGAACGAGTGTTTTATTATTTCGTTCACTATAAATGCTGCAGACATGTTGAACAGCGTACGCCTAGTTAACCATTATTGTGATGCATAATCCGTCTCCTAGGAGGCAGCGCATACCCATAAGCAGGTATTCTCCCCGAAGACCTGCTTCTGACCTTTGGCACAGGGCTCGCTGGCTCGCGATTTCGGGATGCCTGCATGACCCCGCGGCCACTGGATCTTGTCTACATGGATATCCAGCTTAGACGGACTCCAGTCGCCTACTTTCACATTAGCGTAACTTCCACGGGCTTTCTCCAGACGCTCGTAATATAACCGCACATCATCCTCACCTGCAACAACAATGATTTATCATCTCATGGAATATGTTAAAAGAATGCAAGCAACGAACCGGCATTCTTGGGCAAAATTGGCTGCTCGCCGCCACTGGCCACCTTGTGATAACTATAGATTTCGTATTCCCCTAAAGACAAAGATAATGGGGACGCTTTATGTTGTGTAGTTTGGGTTGCACATTTACCTTGACTAATCGGCGTTTTTAAAAGAGAATTGTATAAAAGCGCTCCATCAATCTGAGTGGGAACTTGCAATCGTGCATCCTTCGCCGCGCTACCGTGCCCAAGATAGCTCTTTAACGCTTTTGCGTACACTTGAACCGCTTCGTAAAGTCTCGCTGCTTTTGAGTCGGTAGTGAAATTAGCCTTCTTCAAACTCAAATTCGGGTCGCAAGATTTCCAGTCGGACTGTCGCCATGTAGGGTCAACCGGCGAGGTCCCAGCGATCTTGCAGCTGAACTTGGTCTCCCAAAAGCGTTGGAAATACGGATTTCGGTGAGCATCTTGTCCGGGCTTCAAGCCAATTAAGTGTTGCTCAAACGCGGCCTGTGTTGGAGGTTTGAGTTTTAGCGTCAGAGAACCTTGAATTTCGTCCTCCAAAAACGCTCCCTGGAATCCCGCTAACTCGGCGGGGTCCTGAACCAAACCTACATACAGCAATCCGTTTTCTGGACGGTTCTTCGCTTGCTTGAAAAAGTCAACCATCCAGGCGATCGTCATAATATTTGGCGGAGCAAACACGATCAGAACCGGCGCTGTCGAGCTGTCTCGCGCTATTCGCTGCAGTGTGTCGGAATCGCCGTCGTAACCTTCGTCGCCACCAGTTCGCGCACGAATTGTCAGGTTGCTTTTGATGCAGATATGGTGTCTCTGGACTTCCGCTAAAAATCGCTGCAGGCGCGCGCTGGTTTCAGGGTCCTCGAACGCCGCAGAGTTAATGTACGTCCAGTTGAAAAAGGCCAAGATATCTGCCAGTGCTTTGCCTTGATCCTTGCCGGTCAAAGCTGAACAATATGGAGACAGATTACTTTGTACGAAACTCTTAAACGAGAGAGCCCAATCGGGAGCAGCACATACTAAATTAATTAACAAATTCAAGGTATAGTATAGATCGTGCTGTAAATTAACCCGTTAAACACAGTTTGGTTCCTTTACCCATTTTTAGGCATTTCGTTTAACATTGCGCCTAATAAATCAGTATAGCGGGGTCACCTACTGGTCATGTTGAAGAGGCCGAACTGCTGTTTGAACCTTGAGGTGTCATCTGGGTACGGTTTCATCGTCAGGCCCCGGTGGACAGCGACTAAGTTTAGCACTGGATCGACGTTTATGACAGTGGAACTGTCGCTTTGATTAGGACCTACTTCAAAACGTGGCTGGCTGGATACCCGGGTTACCGGTTGATAGACATCGACAGTATCGATAAAGCAGTGATCCGATATATTAGCTCCTGCAAATTACAATAAAAGAGCAACTTGGCTTAAAATTTTTCCAGCAAACTCATTTCGGCGATCAGCAACAGGAATAAAAGAAAACATGCTGCAGTGAATTTACTAGTAGTTTTAGATGTACCATGTATATTTCCCGTTAAAAACGTTTTTAGTTCATAAAATATTTTTAAGAACCCAAAGGCTACCATTCAGTATTTCCTGTTTGAGAATATTAATCTGTAATAGTTTTTTTTTTATTTTCGCTAATAATTACAAATCAGTTTTGCGGTTGGGTGGCTAAAATAAATTAACAACCGTAAAATTAATAGTCCATATAAAGGGGATGATATCGCTGTTGAATACTTTACCTAGTTTAACGCCGGGAAGAAGGGTTTTGTCGCTGTTGATGGTGTCCAGCGCAGACAGCACCGCTTCCACACGCTGCATACACTGGTTGTATTTTTCCGCTGCTGGTCGCATTTCAGCTGATGGACTTTCATCGTATCCCATGGAGCTCGTCTCCAGCACAATATCACCGGGAATCACGGTATTGGCCACGGATTCCCGAGAGCCGAATTGCGGTGCCACCGGCTGGCATAGGATCGCCAGCGTAGCAATCAATGCGACCAACATCTTGAAAAATGTATTAACTTGTACTTGAAGGCCCGAATTTGAAAAAAATGTAAGCCGTTTGTACGCTTACAAAGCGCACTGTGGAAGTGGTGTACACACCGTTCCCACAAACAGCAGCAAATGCAATTTCTGTACCCAAGCGTGAAAAAGTTTATGTACCGGCGCGATATAGATCGTTACTGTTGATTACAAGTACCGCTATAATGTCAACTGGTTAAGCAAGTTGCGGTTTTGAAGATCACTTTAGAAGATTAGAAAGGTTTTCTCTGAAAATTTGGTAGAATTTCTTTGTAATCTATAACACGCTGGGTCATTATGCCAGTGTGTTATGTGTGCATAATTACGTACAAACCTCTTAGAATATTGTCAGAAACCATGTTCTGAGTGCGCTCTCGTAGTAACCTTGAAAGATACTGTAGGTGATACTTGTTATAATATACTGTCAGCTACTATACAGCCTGCGGTTTCAAAAAGAGACAGATGTGTGAAAATATACTGATAATGAATCAAAATAAACAGTCGTCTGCTCAAAATTTTAGGGTGGGGCTACGATCTGCGGCAATTAACGGACATGATTATAATGTTGCTAGCAATGTGCGGCTGTAACCGTCCGGACAGTCCGGACTTGCGACACTCGTTGTGCTAATATGGATGAACCCACCAGAAAAATAAAATAAAAAAGAAAAATATTCTTTTAAATATAAAAAATGTATTATTTAAACAGTTATAAAACAAACTCTGCAAAGTCGAGCAAACAGCTTATTACCCTTGGTTTTCCGCTTCGCTTCGGTCTTTTAGTGCAATCCAATAGCGGTGCACTTTCCTAGTTATTTTCTTATGATGTGATTTAATTTAAGTACTGTACTTCTACCCTGCACTTGTCCATTTATTTTGCAGTGCAGACGCACGTACGTTGTATGAGCCCATTCAGCTCGCTGTTCACGATTCACATACACGGCCTGCAACTGCGTGCAGAGATCAGGCAGCTGACTGAACGTGAGCGGCTTTAGCTCTCTCTCGCCAGTCTCGCCTACAGTGCAGTAGGCTCAAACCGTACAAAAGTCTGGACAAGTGCAGGGTAGCACTGCGGCGATAACACTGAGGTGCGATCTAGTCTGATCCCTTTGGAGCCTTTCCTGGGAAGACTCACAACTTCTCTGAATATAATTATATAAATATAGACTGGCACAGCCAACTCAGACGAAGAATCTCTACGAGCAGAGATCTCGTGGTCAAACTGCCGGCGGATAAGCTGATTGGTATTCGAGCACGTACGTATGTTCTTTTATCATTGTGTTTTTTGTTTGCTTGTGCTTTTTTTAATTTTTCAACTTTTTTAAAGTTGTAGTTCTCGTTTGTTATTGTTGACTGTTTATTTGCCGAACGATGAATCATGTTTTGAAACTAGCAGTAGCAGAAGTTTGTTTGACAAGAATACATAGATACATAATACATAGAATGTCCAGCTTGTATTCGCTGAATGAATTAGTTTACCAATAACTTGGTTTTGTATCAATTTGTGATTTTCGTAAAAAAATGCATGTTCAGGACATTCCGCCGGCAGTTTGACCACGAAAATTTCCGCCGGCGTTTTGACCACACAAAATTTCCGCCGGCAAAAACTTCCGCCGTCGTTTTGACATTGGCCCTTTCCTTAACATCTGGTTGGCGAGATAACGGTGTAATAATAGTCTTTATGCCCATTTATGGGCCAAACACCCAAAAAAGAAAGCGAACATGGCCGTATAATTGTGTGCTTTCGAAGCGAAAATTTATTTGCTGTATACGTGCACCACTCTAATGCTTCCTGGGAGCACATTTCCTGTTAAAACCGCCTTAATTTAGCCTGGAAAAACAATCCAGTTCCCGGTGACCAGTGGACACAGCTAGGCCACGTGCAGCAGGTAGCACATAAGTATGCTGTATGCCTTTAAGGTGGCAGTGAATTTGCTGTTCTTGTTGATTTTTTATGGAAACATCCCAGCAGGTGCCGACTGCCGATACATCGCGAAAACCGGAATTGGAGCTGTACCGTCTGCCACGCAGTTAATGGTTTTTCATAATATCATTATTTCTATAGCTGTACGATACTCCTAGACGCTTTAACACTACTGTGTATAAAATTTTGCTAAAACTACTCTGTTACTTTAAGTCTTTCCGTATAGTAGTATACCCGTCCAATTAAGTGGTCGTATTTGCACTTAAACCGTTAAACTGCCGCCAGCAGCTCACAAGCGGCAAAAACAACAAATTTTTCACTTTTTCTCGGTAACGAACACAGCGGCACGCCTTAAGACCGATTGAATAATCTACGAAGCTAGGCGGAGTAATTTATTAATTTAAAGAGTTAACACGATAAAAAGGATAAAATAAATTAAGCGCGATGTAACGGAAGCCAATAGCTTGCACCCAGGACAATTTTCATTGCACGAGTTTGGAAGAGTCTTATCAACTACCGTACTTTATGATAAAAATAATACAGAATGCAAAACTATGAAGGCGGTACAAAAAATTTCACCATTTTGCCGAAATTGCAATAGCCAAATCAGAGCCGGAAAATACAGAATTTAAATGAGTATATCTAACTTCTGGGAACGGAATTCATGACCAACGGTTTTGTATTCTGGCTCCCGGCATGCATAAGTAAATTTATCTACAGTATATGCACGTATAAATCAGAACAATACTACATGAAAATGCCAGGTCTCGCGCGAAGATAACAAATTATTTTTCCGCAAAAGTCGCTACAAATTTCCATAAAAATTTAAATGTAGCGGTATCGTTCTGATTTAATTGAATAAAATGTAACTGCCACACGCGCTGCGGTTGTCTAGTTAAATACTCTGTTCATAATACAACACAGCGACAATGCGTGAGTATTTGTTCCACATTATCACAAATTTTCAGGCCCTGAGCCAAACAACTGAAAGAAACAATGTTTGGAATCTGTAAGGCGCTTTGCGGTGACCACTTAATTAGCTACTACTGTCTCGCTTACTGCAGAAAATTTCACATAATAACAATATGTACGAACGAACATTTTATCGTTGGCAGAGGAACAATTTCTATGTCTTGATCAACCTAAAGCAAGAAATTTTCCGGCGCCGATTGATGAAAAAACATTGTTTACCGATTTATAGCAGATTGTGGTAAAACAAAATTAGTGTAAGGTACAGTAGCTACAGTTTTTGCAGTTGACATGCACATCGATGGGTGCCGTTTACTGCTGCAATCAAATTATAGTGAAAGTGATTTATGATCACTTCTTTCGAACAAATTCTACGTCTTTGCCAACACAGCAATGTGAATTACCTTATTCATGGACAGTGTTTTGCTTATGTAACACGGTAAAAAGATGATTAATGGTTTTTTAGCAATGTGAAAGCATTAGTCTTTACATTTTCCAGGGACGTAGGTGCAGCAAAAGAAAGGCTGCCTGGCAAAAACAAGAGTGCATTATACTCCTGTAATTAAGGATGGGCCCCTTTAACCGCTTATTTATTAGCGCTCGAAGCAAGCAAATTCTCAGCTGTCAGGACAGTCAGTCTGCCATATAAAAAGGAGATATTTTAAAGTTTGCGAGGTGGACAAGTTACTAGTCATTCAAATTTCTTCCTTCCTCGAACGGTCTTCATCCGGAAACATGCAGCAGTACGCCGTTGTTTTAATTGTCGCGTGTTTGCTGGTCGGCGCCTCGGCCAATGCCGGTTTGGGCGAATGCTACAAGTTTATGCACACTGTACAGAAACTCCGTGGCCCGTCGTGCAACGCCTTCTACATGATGTGCGACGGATCCTTCTCCCGCAAGGATTGCTCATTCGGCCAATGCTCCACGGACTTCGAGGTCACCTGTCCACTGCCCGGCAAATCCGATGTGCGCATCAACTCCAAGATGAGCTGTGCCGAAGTCAATCGCAAAGCCGCCTCACTGCGAGCACAGTACGACGCCACACCCGATTGTTCATGAGTATAGAATCGTTTTCTTAGCTTAATTCTTTATGTGGCCTGGGGTGTGTTTTGGAAAAATACACAAGCACAAGATTAACACAAAAATAATTCCATGAAAAATTAAAGCGTAGATACTGTATTTGCGTCTGATTTGCGTTGCGTGGGTGCCGCGTCTGGGAGCAACAAATTAAAAAGCTACTGGTTAATTCAGCTTGTTAGCACTTGCACAGCTGGGAGTAGTATAAGTGCTATCTTCCTAATACAACCATTTACAGCAAAAATTATTTCATATGTACTCAGTATAGGATAATAACTCCATGTACTGTGTCGTGTTCGTAAGTAATGTAAGATTTTAATATCTTCACAGCAGCGCTACCAACAACAACAAAATATAAAAGTAATGAGACTGACAAATAGCGATCATATTGCTATGCAGAGTACCTGAGCATATATATGCTCAGGTACTCTGCATAGCAATGTGATCGCTGAGTGCAGGTCATATATGACCTGCACTCGGACAAGGTCAGTCATAATCGCGTGAATACGTATCCGTAAAGTTAGTAATAGGAGGACATCACATACTGCATCTGATCTGGTGCATTTTTGGTGCTCATACTATGTGGCAGATTGGTGAATTTACCGGTACATCTGTATAGGGTATCACTGCTGCTTTATTTGCGGTGTGTACAGTACTAATGCGAGTAAAGACAATTTACACGGAACCACAGGCGGAAAATAAATATTGTTTACCGTCAGCTGTGAAATTTACCGGTTCGTTAGCCGGTAATCGTGATACATGTGCAGTGGAAAGGCGCAACAATTTTCACGCATGTAAATATCTCCTATTACCTATTTAAGCATAGTACTTCCACTGTACTCTGTAGCTTACAGTTACTGAAATTACTCGCATAAAAGTAACTATGCATACTGTACACGACACCAGTGTGAACCAGCGTGGTTCAATCAGATAATGCAGTCTGTACATGTCCTGTTGTTAGTTTATGTTCTGTTGTTTTATTAGGACAACGTAATGGCGCTCATGTGCAGTGAAGGTTTGTAGCCATGCGCATTAAAGACAGCTGTTAAGGAAATGGCCCGGTACATGGTGTCAAAAATGGGATACATACACTAAAACTTTCGCTTTCGCGCACTCCGAATCGCTTTTTTGTAATACTTTATGTCCTTCTAAAGCTAAATGATTTGTATTCATGTTCTGAAAACCGTTTGCGCGCGCAACATCCGGTTGCCGAGAAATGGCGTACTAAAATGGGCGAAAAGTTTAAATGCAAGCTTTAGAAGGACATAAAGTATTACAAAAAAAAGCGATTCGGAGTGCGCGAAAGCGAAAGTTTTAATGTAAGTATCCCATTTTTGAAGCTATGTACCGGGCCATTATCCTTAAGTGTTAACTGCTGGATACCAATTAACACATATATATCTATAGTATAATAAGAAGATGCATAACATAGTATTTACGATAAATGATTATCACAGCAGTACATGCAGTAGATAATATAGTAATAACAATTAATGTTACTGTGCCAGTGTTAAACCGGTCGACCTTGTAGTTATATGAATGTAAATTAATATTCAGTATTATTACTGTAATTTCAACACAATCAATTTATATTCGAAATAAAAAAATTTATGTTCCCACGCTCCTGTTGATGGTTGCACATGGTAGACCATATTTTGTTTTTCGAAATGAGCAATAAACATACACATGCCGTATTGTTTTCATAGAACGAATAAATCGGCGCTTCAAAGGGGCGAGAAAAAAACAAACGTACACATATAATCCAGCCTTATGTATGTAAATGGTTCCAAATAACCAATGAAGTAAGCCGCGTTCCAGGACCAACGTACCATAATTATTAAACACAATATGTACGAGTACAGATGAAACCTTATGCAAGGTTTACATGCCAGTTGATGCAACCCATTGAATTACTGACATTTGCAAATGCCTGTTAATTAAATGCAAAAGTTGCGCATACAGTCGATATTACTATTAAAAAACAATTAGGACGGTTTCCTTTGTTCTTTCATGCTCTTCGTCCAGGAATCACGCCGGTCTGTTTTGTGCGAAACCATATCGTTCACAACATCCATGATGAGCTCATGATCCCGACTGGTGAGAATGCGCCAAGTCGCAGTCGACAAAATTAATCGTGTCGCGAATACTTTCCACACATCATGCAGTTTGTTATCCACGTCTTCTTCAAAATAGTCACCATTATTCTCATAGCCTTTCTCCACTATGCTGATCTCCACTTTCTCACTTTTGCTTTCTGTAAAACTTTTTCGATGGCATCCGTACGACCCTGTTTGTGCAGAATTTTCACGATTTCGCCAGCGTACTTCCATGCCTCCTCATTGCCCGGATTCGTCACCAACCGTTTGCGCAACGGTTTGCACTCTTCGTCAAGCACCTCTTCCGGCATCTCTGGATGGAGCCGTTGTAAGACATCGGCACGGTCCTCCCATGCTAAGTATGAAGTGTCATCACGCAGGATTTCTTCCGTGGTGTCTTTCATGAAATCTTCCGCCAGTGCTCTGTCTCCATAGACGGCCACGTACGCACGGTGCCAACGTGCAAACTTCTTCTGTTCATTGTCCCTTTAAAAGAGGACACACGCTGTTATGCTTCCAATTTAGATCTAAGTTTAAACTGGTCAAACCACTGCGAAGTTGCGAACGACAGCTCCTTGAGTACAGTTTTGAGCAGTTCCATACTCGAAGGCTTCATTAGTTCTTCTTTCCGAAATTTTACTTTTTCTGTAGCCATTTGTTAATTAAAAATTTATGGTTTCTTTTCAGACTATGGAACAGTACGTGGTCCTGGTTCCAGAACTCTCCCCCAGTCCAACAGCAAAGTTGCCAAAACGCTTTTTAGCTGCCCAGACTGTGGTGGGGTGGTCAGTTTTGCAGTGATGGATTCTCAACTTTTCCCATTGGCGTTCTATGTTAATGTTTTTTGAAGTTTTCATTCAAATCTTCGTTTTTCTCTAAAAACTGACTTGTGATGGCAAATCTACATCTAATCATACTTTCGGTAACCGTCTTTAAAAAATTTTTTTTGGAATCTTTTTTTTACCCATACGGCCATACCAGATGTTGCGCGCAAAACGGAGCGCAACGTCTACTCGAGTAGAGTACAAAATCATTCGTACAACTCACTGGTCAGCAGTACAGGACAAGACAATTTCAGTCTTCAGATTCCTTCAGGGATACACGGCGTGTGCCATATTTAATATATGAAACGCAAGCTTGCTTCGCTCGCTTGCTTAACTATATGATTAACGTAAGAAGAATCAATGATGAAAAATATCGCATAACGAAACATATCACAATAAGACAAACAATGAATTTTAAAACGAACAGTTTCCGTCAAAACTCAAAGGTGATGGGAAAAAATTAAAGAATTCAAGATCTGCGTATCTGACTACCGTAAATTATGTATGTATAATAAATTTACTTTAATTTAGTACAATGTCATTACAATTTCATACTTCGCGGTGACAGGAGCAACATCTCACCGCTGATTACTTTGCGGCTATCTTTCAGAATATGTTTAAAAAAATTGCTGGAGCAAAAAAACAGCGTTTTCTCTTCTTCGTCGGCGTATCATTTCTCCATAATAGGTTCAGAGTTTCCATTAGTCCGCCATGCTTTTGTTGTTGTAGTGTCATCCATGTAATCCAGCGAAAAAAAAATTTTAGTTGAGGCATCTCATCGGGGGATGCGCATCTCAATGCTACAGATGCCCCTGAAGCAAGGTTCATCTCCCATAGAAGTAAGCTACTTTGTTATAAGGTTCCCACTGAAGAATGCGGTGGTTGTCTGGTGTAAGGTCCAGGTGACCTCGAAATATAATTTCTCATGGTTTAAACATGAACTATATTAGATAATTTTAATGCGCCCAGGGATGTCTACAATCTGTCCATAGGCGGGGAATGAAATAATGCCGAGAAGGAAAGGCCGGCGAAACGAAGAAAACTAAAGTAGCGGCAGCAAAACAGTTAAAGTTGCTTTTGAAATTGTTGAAGCGAAACCTGCAGGACTTCTTCAGCGAAGGAAAGAGCTAGAATTTTCGTTCGGTGCTTATGAGCGAAATTCTATCGAATTGCTATCTCAGATGTTTCGCCGCTGTTCGGCAAGCACACAAAGGTCATCCTCCTCTTCGTCAGTGCTGGTATTACTATAATAAAGGTTACTTTCCACAGCAAGGTTGGTTGACCTTCACCCTCGCGGAATCATCGCTGGATTACAGCATTAACGAGATGTATCAAATTAGTGTTAATAAGGATGCTACGGTGGGTAGATCAACACGGATTTTTAAGTAGATCTGCTCTAATTTCGACCTGATTGTATTTCGAAACACACTTTCCGCATAGAAACCCTGAGATGCTGGACAGTGGACGCATGTAAACACTAGGTAAAAATTATATGATTATTTATTTGTTGGTGACTGACTTATGGTAAATTTTGTAAAAAGCTGCTTTAATTTGTATTAACACTTCGTGTACTGTATTCGGTTCAGAGGGCGATTCGTGAACAATGGTGCGCAATGGCTTTTAAAATGATAATGGCGCATTGTATTTTCCGCTATTCACTTTACGCGAGTGACCGGTCGATTTGCAAACCGGTGGAACATGGGCGATTCGCAAACCTTTCCCGTACAAAATTATTATTTTATGTGTTTGTTTCACTTATTACTGTAATCAACTGTCGCCGCTAAAGTTAGCTAACGTGTATACAAACAATAATATTAATTTGGCAGTTGAACACTATTCAGCTTCGAAATCGACAACGTCTGCGCTTATTATGAGGTATTCTCTACGCTATATGCGTCGTGGCACAGTGGTACAAAACAACAAATCGAATGAGAAATCTGCGAAAGATACAGTGAAACTTGGATCGGTAACACAGAGACAGACCAAAACAAAATCTTTTCAGCCACAAACAAACGGACGGTGATATGACTGATGTCAACGTGGACGATTTTTTCTCGCCTTGCGGAAGCTGACAATCCACATGATAGGATCAAACAGCAGCTGAATCATGTACATCATGTGACAGTACTGGAACACTGTGAAAATGGTCAGCGACGGCTTCCCGATCAGAAACCACTGATAGAACAGGATAACATCCAACGGCAGCCAGCAGATAATCACACTAATGGTCGTCAACGTCAGAATCAGAAACGGCCGGACGACGCTACGTTCAACAGTCTGCGGCTGTCTCCCGGCTCCGTTGATTCGCGACATATTTCCGGCGTCCAGGTTATCAAGTTTCTGGGCCAACTCAACACTTTCCGATGCGTCCGTGACTTTTCCCAGTTTTCTACTGAACCGTTTAATAACCAGATACGCATAGACACCGGCGATTATAAAAAGCGGGGCAAACCGATTTAAAATACTATCCACCCGGGTGAAATAAAAATATCCTTGTGGTACCGGTATGGAGCAAATCTGCGACGTTTCCAGCCGAACTTGATATGCATTCGGTTTGAAAATAAACAGGGATGGCAGTTTAAATAAATGCACATACAGCACAGTGAACACGCAGATCAAGCATGCCATTTTCGTGGTATGATAGTTCCGGTAACCGAGAGGATACTTCAGCGCCCATAAACGGTTTAATGCAATCAGCATGTGGCACATCACCGGCACGAGACTGACCACCCAGTGAAAATACGAAAAGGTCAAGCAGGTAGTTAATCCGTGGAAAGGAAATTCAACATTGTAGACTTCGCTCAAGAAGATGAACGGGAACGCTCCGGCTAAGTACACGGTGTTGGCGATGTAGAGAAATAGGAGGTACACGGTGAAATGGTTGATATATGCCGGGCGCATAATATGGACAATCAGGAGGCCGAAGTTTAGAATGAAGGACGTGACAGCGATGACGGTTTTTACGGCGAACTGTGGAGTAAGCGTGGCGCCGGTTGGCGTTGTGGAATTCCCGAATCCGCGCGCAGTCAAGTTTGCAATTGAACCGTTTATGATTTCCATAGTAGAAATATTCCGCGTTAGAGTGATCGAATTCGCCGATTCTTGCAACATATTACTAACTGGTAAGTCTGTTCTGCAGTAGGTACTGCCGCTGCTGCACTGGTTATCAATACAAAAGGAGTTTAAGATTTTATTATGTAACTGTAGATGTGTAAGAGAAACGGGCGCAGTTATACGAAAATCGTGGAATAATTACTGCGTGAATTTCCGCCGCGGTTGAATGACGCGTTAATCACGTACGAAAGCGTGCTAGAGGAAAATGTCTACGACTGTGAAGAATTCCGGATGTACATACACGCATCGGATTTTAACATTTACTACGTAATCAAAATTTCTCTTCCCGACAAGACGTTGAGCTCGTGAATGGGAGCGGATGTAATTATCAGGTGGTTCCGCTATAAGCGGAACATAATACACTTCAATGGCATTCAAGGACTCGTGCGGCAATTTACACAAAATGCCAGCAGATGGAGTAAACACCACCTGGAATTGAAATGAGCGAAAAAACTTGAGTAGTGCCGTAACACCGCTGTGGGATGATAATCTTATAGTCTTTCTTCACCGGGAATCCGGAAGCTGGTTTGGCTTACAATTTAAATTACCTTCTCGGGGTGAATGGAACCGCTCGGCATGAGGTGTATTATTCCCCCCAAAATTATTTTTCTGCGGATGGTGTTAATAATGGTCGCAACGTTCTCGAAGGGGATTTTCATATGCATAACAACAATCGCTAGGAATGCACATTACGCACTGTAGGATGTACCGTAAATACCTAACTTTCAGTCTGATTGATTTGTTGATAAGGTGTCCAACGATATTTTACAGAACTGTTATAGTAATTTATCGATGCGAATAAGAATATTTATTTATTAGCACGAACTATAGCTTTTACTGATGCTGTTCCAGTGTAAAATATTTCTCTATACTCTGCTTGTTCTTGGTTCAGCAGCTTTAATGTGCTACATTGATACGCTGTACATTGTATTACTGGATAAGAAGAGCTCAATGCACTACATGGACGAAAATGCACATCGCATCCCGTTATTAGAAACCAGGCACCGCTATCCCCCAAACAAAAATTGAGCACATTATTGGATTGCAAATTTACAACATTTTGTTTATTGTTAAAATGCCATTTAGGTTTAAAATGCCATTTTTGGTTAAAATGTCACCCGGCACGCTAAATCCAAAAGCAATAAATAAAGCGTATTACGTGCCATGTTTACGGGTCAAAAGCATGTTTTACTAGATTGTGCTCCCATGAACAATTACACTTAATATCGCGATAGCGGCTTTGTATCGTACAAAAAAACACACCGTGCATCAGGCGACAAAGAATGAGTGCTTTGATTTACCAACCACAGTTTGCTCTATTGTAACTGAAGAAATTCCGATTCAAATAGAATGCCGTGTGGATCGATTTATATGTTTAATTACTGTACTTATTCCCCAACTGGAGGCTGCATATTTCAAACTTTTCTATCACTGCAACAGTAGTTAATGCCCTCAAGGCGGTGTACTAGATTTGTTTCTAACTTGTATTGAGTCAGCAACGTATTTCTAGTTCACTACTCCTAAGCGGGCTCCAAATTTCACTTTGATCGTCCTTACAGTGCGAGCCTGGACAGTGCGAGACAAAGTGCGAGCCTGGATAGTATCTATTGTACAAGTACATAAAACATGGATTTCAGTATTCCCTACCGGCGTAGCACGTTTATAACAGCTGGTTTGCAATCCATAGCATGTCTCGTTTTCAGTGAATGGTGGCTCTTCTCAGAAAGTAAACCGGTAAACGTTTGCGGTGCCAACGTCGTAATCACTTTGGGAAATCAGCCGTAGTGCTACATGCCAATTTGTCATCAGTTGGAACTCGGAACTACAGTACTGTTTTAAAACCAGTTAATAAAGACTCTGGAGCAGTGGAAGTCACTTATTTAATTCTTTTAGTGGTGCGACAACCGGCAGAATCGCTGCTAGCCACAAAAGATTAAAGTATACAGACATTTGGTAAACGGATGATACAGTACCTAGACTCCATTAGGTTGTGTTCACGGGCAACATTTCCATCGAAGCTGATTTGAAAATGTTGCACCATTTTTTAACTTTATTGATCATCTACGAACTGCATGCCGCACGTGCACAGGATGAAGTGTACGCTCGTCCGTGGAAGATCCTCGGAAGCCGCGACCAGACGTTGCCGGTATTCAATGGTAATACCACCAATTTATTCATAATTTACTGGCTTTATTACTAGTAATCAAATATTGCAGGAACCAAAAGGTCTCCAAATGACGAATCACTGAGTGGCAATTCTTCTAACGGAACATATATAACAGAACTGTGTAGCTCTGATCGGCCGGTAATACCGACAGCAGATCAAGTTAGCCACCAACCAATTTTCATGCTAAAGGACGCCCGTTTTCGCGAATGGGCGACCATCATAAGGAAATTTGGGCTTCTGCATGTGATCGGCTATTACGGAATTCACCAGATGGCCATTTCCGGCGGTGATCTGGCACCAGAAAAAATCGAGCAGGCGTTAACTACCGCCTGGAAAGTGCCGATTGGTAGGTTTTAGGCATCAAGTTTTATTAAAATTTAACTATTTCGAGGATGTAGTAAAGCATTCTATCTTTTGATCACAGAAGCCGCTGAAGCTGCTCTCCGATCCCAAGAGTACTTTCTCCGTGGTGCCGAATTCAAGATACAAGCGTCAATATTAGAGTTGGACAAACACCGATGGTTCTCGCAAAACGGGTACTTATGCAGTTTATTGCTTGCCGTTTGGGTCTTTTGGCATAATTTTGGAATAGTAATAATTGATAATACTTGCAGAGATCATGTCGCTCGCGTTACATATACCATAGTTCTGATAAGCACGGAAGCAGACGTTCCCAGAACGCTGCAGCGAATTCCTCTGATTAGCGTCGATCACTTAGCGGAAGAACTACGACACGAGAATATTACACTACATGTCGGGCCTATCTTTCGCGCCTGGTTGGCGGATATGACCAATGCTTCCAGTGTCACGGATAAGCTTAAGGAACTGCAGTCGGTTTTACCCAACACGGCCAGCATGTGCTTTTATTCTATAATAAACGCTGGGGCTGCGCTGCGAGATGTCAGAACCGTGCAAATTATACCCGGACAACCGTTTAACGTAACATACTATTCCAGTGTTTCACGGCCGACGGAGGATGCGGTCCCGCACTCCGGCTTCTTATCCGGAAAACGAATGTGAGCATTCCTTTTGCTTATCAATAAATTGTGGTTGTGCACACTACGAAATGACGAATACGGAATACACCCTGCCATTTTTGCAGATTCAGACGAACGATTCTGCCGTTTCTCATCAAGATCAACGGCAGTGTTCTTCCTACTTCGTATGACCCAAATCTGCGAACCCATGCCGCACTGCAGACTCTTAGTGAAGGAAGCTATGATCTGGAAAAGAGCGAAACTCCGATGCAGTATAAACTCAACAATCCCATCCATTTCCAGGACCTTCCCGGCATAGCGGACGGAATAGCCAAGGCCGTGCAATCGCGGTTAGAGGGTTCATCAAAATTTGTTCTGCGAAGTACGTATACTACTCTAAACACTTCGATGTTTCTCGCGTTCGGGACATTGTTTTTATACACCCAAAACACATTCGTGCAGTGATTTTGAACCAATATGTAAGCAATTTCTCCAAATCTCAATCGCTTATTCAGGTGTCACCACAAAGCGGTTGTATGTAAGTAATATCTAACGCAAAATCCTTTGTAGCACGCCATAGGGTATTGATGCGAATATTCTTAAAATTCTTATAATAGATATAATACTTAATTCAGTCGAATATTCTTAAAATTCTTCTATTCTTGCGAAGTAAAAATAATAGGAATTATGTAGTAATGACCGAAATCATGAATAGTGTTCCGAATGCGCGAAACACCGAAGTCGCGCTACCGAATAAGAGTATTACTCTTAGAGTAATGCGGACTGCTCCAAGCTATAAAAATTGGTTTAGTTATACCGTAAAAAACATTGTTTCGTTCGCCACTCAGTTATCAGTGTTGCTTTTAGAGGAGCTGAACAACCCCGACCTACTGGGAGATAGATTGTTTCTCGGATGCACTACAGCCGGTCTGAGCGTGGACGGGATGACGGTGTCGGCACAGTTGTATGCCGGTAGAATGAAGCCCGGCGATGCTTTGTTCATATTGACGATGCCGGTTGATCCCACTTTACCGCTTTACAAACCGTTGTATAACGCCGTGTACGGAAAGGCGATCCAAAGCAGTCCTTACCCGGTTCGAGTAGTCGATCCAGATGAGGCAGAGGATGATGGCGGTTTGCCACCGATGATGGCACTGCCACCAATTTCGAACCATTATCCGCTCGCATTAATCATCGACGAAGTTGGCGAAGACCCTGAAATCTTGAGTTCTACGGTATGGTTTCACCTGCACGCTTACTAGTGGAATTTTGAGCTTCAGTGTGCGTCGCTTTCAGCTTTCGCCTTTCTGCAGGTTCTCGATAAAGTATTAGGATTAGTCGTGGCGGCTTTCAACGAGGCAAATCCACTGCAGTTAAACGATAACCGCTTGAATATCACTCTGACACGGTATGAAGGCGGAAAGACCATGAACCAAGATATGTAAGGCGCGCAATATCATATTCGGCCTGCCTAACCATGACCTTTTGATAGTATTATGTTTTGAGCAGGAAAATGTTTTTACCTTTCAATTTGCCATCGTAAAGTCCGGAACGGAGAGCACATGGAATCTGTGGCAGCAACCGACCTTAAGCATTTTGCGGAGTATTATTATAAAGTTTAGGCATCCATGGCGTTTGGCATCCTTTAGCGGTGCCGATGATGGATACAGCCGTGCTCGTCTGAATACAATTTCCTAACAGCTGGCAATTTGTAAAACCGGCGAGATAGTACCGACGTTCTTAATTAAATTACCGGACTTGCAGTTGTGGTTGCATCCCGGCATTCACGGGAAAATGTTTTCCGCTGATATTTATTTTACTGTTTGCTCACTTCTGAAAGAGCATCTGCGTAGCCTCAAGAAAAGCAGTAAAATAGTTTGAGTTTGGAATTCGAAGATTTGTGCAAAGCATTTAATTTCTGACGTCAAAAAACCATAGACTTCATATGGCCGACCTTGAAACTTCTCGAGATTAGAATGCTACAGACTACAGTGCTCGTATGGATAAATGTCCTGGATTTCACCGTGTCTGTGACTTTTGGTTCATATGGCCGCAAGAAAGTTTACGGTGCTTATCGCAACTCCGTTTCCGACTAGACAGCGCTAAATTTTTCGCGGTACTTTTCTTGTGGGCGGCGCCGGCGAGCCGGTTGTTGTTGTTCTATAGGGCCACGTCGGGTAAATAATCCGAGCGGACAAACAGACAAAGCGAGACGATCACGAAACAACAATTTACTTAACCGGTAATGAATGAAATCATAGTATTGTTTTTGGGCTTCACAATAGTATTAATTTTAAATTTCTTTTCCGCCATGCAGCATTGTACACTATGTATATCACACATCAAAATTTAACAAGAATACGTAAGACGTAAAGACCATAAGATGCGTCTTATTACAAAACTATTATCATATTTTAATTTTTCTTTTTGTTTAACAGTTCAACATTCTCGGAGTTTGCTCGCTGTTCGACTCTCCACAGCCAGGATTCCGCGGCTGCATACGAGCCGGCAAACTGATGGTGAGAGATGACAGCTCATAGCGACTGCCACAGGCACGCTCTCAATAATTTTGTGCCGTCTGGCCCGTCTGAGCGTCTCACATTCCCTATCATGAAACATAAACGCATGCCTGTTATGGCACAGGCCTGCATACTTGTGCGCAGAAAATAATAAGTCAGTGTTATGGTTTAGCCTGAGACACTGAAGTATTCCACACTGTCGTCCAGGTCTTCTCTTTTGGCTAATTGGCTTGAGTCCTTTAGTATTAACCGGGCTTTGTATTTTCTGAGCTAGCAAATAGCTTACATGTTTTAAAATTCGATTGAACCATTTTTAACGGGACAGGTCGCTAAATTTCGTGACAGCTGAGTTTTACTGGTCCAGATTTACGGAATTGCAGCTGTCTTCAACAAGTAAGTACTTGGTTATCATTCATCAAGCATTTTAGATGATTTTGATGAAGATTATGACCTACGTTATATCCACAGAAGTCCACCATGTACCTGTACGAAGATGGTACCCGGTCTGTGCAGGCATGGAATGCTGTGGATGTTGAAATCGATGGTCTGTTCCAGCATGGCCATATCGTTGGCCTGGAAGAGTCTGTCAGTATTCCACCACGCCTAATCATCGATTTCGGATGCTCGACACAGCAGTCGGTGCCGGTTGATAACGTGAAGGTATTTACCTTCTCCACCTTTCCCTCCTTCCAACCGCGTCAGGAAGCTGTGGAAGTGCTGTTGTTCGATCATCCTGGTCGTCCATGGAAATGGTATCCCGGCAAAGTCCTCATCAATTCTTTCGCGAACTTGCGGAACCATGCGCTGGTGGAAGTAACAGTAGGTGGGCAACATCTTCGCGAACTGCTTCCCAACGAACAGATCCGTCCGGTGTCTTCGGAGAAACGACTGCAACGCAAGCGCGTTCAGCCGGGGATTTTGTAATGCGGACATGCAGAGTGCCAAACGGCTACTGGGTTCTGACAGAGTGCTTCGCCTCGAAGCTGCTCCGCCATATTCAGCGAAGGTTTCGTGTGCGATTCACCTACGTTTTCGGCCAGGAGATGCATTACATCCAACAGCACACTAAAAGCCCTTTAGAAGATGCCACAATCGTAAGTTATCGCCTGCATTCAGATTTTTAATGGGCAGTTGGGCACTACTTTCTGGACGAGTCGGAGGGTTTCTGAAGGCGTTAGGGGGCAGGTATCTCGTACCAAAGAGGGGTGTATTATTATACTGCTTCGAATTTTCGGAGACCTCCGCCGAAAAAAGTTTTCGGAATGTGCCCTCCCTCTTGTGAATTTCGTTTTGAGAAAATAGTCTGGAAATATTTTATCTCTCCCAGTTTTTTCGCGGCCCGTTGAAAACAGCGTTCTTCTGGCCTCCCGTACTGCTGGGGAGTATAGCTAACACGTGTTTCCGGTAAGCTGCCGATCTAGAGCCCAGTGTACCCCAACGAAGGTTGGGCGCATTAACGGTTTTCGCCCGAATGTATAGAAATAATTTGGCCGCATACTATCTTAAAACTGTGCCGAAGAGCGTGTGGTCGCGCGCGAGTTCCCGTTTGCGTACTGATGGGTCGATATATTGCACTGGAACATTGTCCCTAAAGCCTGTCTGCCATGCTCTTTTCTCGTCGTATCATTTAGATGCACAAAGCGCATTCAACCGAAAAACCGGGGTAGCTGAGATGCAGAATACAAATTCACGTTTGTAACTGTCCCGTGACCGACCAAGTCGTCGCATAAAATCTCGTCGCGGGACACTTCGTCGGCCACATTTGGTCGCGAAGACATTTAGTTTCTGGAAAAGTCGTTGCTTGTCAATTTGGTCGGGAGACATTTGGTCGCGAGACATCCGGTAACACGGACACATCGGGGCCAGACATTTCGTCGGCGGGACAATTGGATACCCAATTATTTTAAAAGAAAAACTTTATTTCAGTTAAAAACTCCGTCGTTTGACTTCGAATTAATTTTACTGAGACCGGCATGTAAGATTACACATTTCCATATATTTTTAAATTTTTGAAACCGTAGTCTTACATTTTAAATGAATTATACACAAATTTAAGTTGCTGATTTGTACATAGTGCCTTTCTTGGAAAACACTGACGACCTAATAATTATGATACACTATAGTGACTATACTAATGATAACTAATCTATTTGCTACTCATTACGTGGTATTAAAATAACAAATATTACACTAGGAAGTTCACAGAGCTGGCAATAAACCAAGCGAGCGAGAACCATTAGTTCCAGTTATTTATCCCAGTTCATCTCCGGCTTCTAACAGACTCTCTATTTGGAGCTCATTCACAGAGAAATCACAGCACGGACACTCACCCTCACTTTCCTTTACCCGAACAATGATATAGTTCCAGTTCCCATCACACACTTTGATTGTGTGATATAGGGCTGGACCGAACTAGTCTCCGATTCCACACATTGACACATACAGTCTGTATAAGATACAAAAGCATTAGGATCAAGTCGTTTACTGCTGAACAGCAATAAAATTTAACAATGGTTTTTCTTTCGACTTGCAGTTGCTCTTTCTCTCTTACGATTGTAAAGCCAGGCAAGTCTGGTTTAATGTCTTTAAAGTCGACGCTAAATCGCGCCAAGATCACACTTCAAAAAACTTACGACAACGGTGCTTCCAAGATAATTACACTATTTTGCTAGTTTTTTAACTAAGGCGGTATGTCAAGTATGTTAGTATGTCAAGGCGGCTGACCGCCTTGCGAACGTCGTTTTCGACTGCCTAACACCAGTTGTCCTCGACCAAACGTCCTTTAGACGAAGTGTCCCGCGACGACTTGTCACGTAGCCAACTGTCCACCATTTGCGCGGCTAAAGCCGAAAACTTTGCGTTGGGTCAGAGACTTAAGTCGCTCTTAGTACTGTACTTGTCATGGGCCCACGGATAAGCCAACTCTGGCTTCTGAAGTTTCTTTTCTTCACCACAGGCGAAAGTTTTCGAAAGAAAAACTGGAATTCATCCGTAATGGCAAATTCCTGGTGGAGGACTCTCGCCGCCTGGAAGGACCCGACCAGGAAAAACGGTCCGATACGAAATGGCGCGGTTGGGCACTGCCAACCGAACTCTTTGAAGAGGTGTTTCAGTCGCTGGACACCATCGACCGACAACGCTGCCGACGCAGCTGTCAACTGTGGGATGCCATTCTCACTTCGACGGAGATGTGCAAAGTTGTTCGCGTATCGCTCAAGCATCCACCTTTCTCCCAGCGGCTCGCCAAAAAATGGAATGATTGTTATGCCGCGTACGGTTGCTTCTTCAAGCACATAACTTCTGCAGCACGAACCATCTGCATTCGAGACACGGAATGGGACTGCGACGATCAGGACGATTTGAAACTCGCCGATGGAGCGACAACGTTGATGCAAAAACTCTTGCACGAAGCCGGCATTCGCATCGAGCGTTTGATCGTGCACCACCGATCACTGACCATCGACCAGGGTGAACCCGGTCCATTGAAGTTGCAGGTGGTTTTTGCCGCGATAGCCGCGCTAAATTCCAAGCTGGCGACCTGCTGCGACCGCTTGATTTGGAGAAGGCATTCCTTGAAATGCGAAAACAGCACCGGTGCGATAGTGCTGGAATTCCGTGTTCCGATAACGATGTTCAACCTGGGGGGTGTGGGAGCACCACAGATTTGGGATACATTTGAGCAGCACCTGCGCTGCACGGGACCGGCGTTAGATATGGACCGCATCGCCCAGTGGATGGCGAGATGCACCCACAGGAATGCGAGAACTAAGAGATTTGAAAAGGTATTGTTTTTCATGGTATTATATGCTGTACGTGGGAATCGTCAAAAGTTTTCTACGTTAAGTCGCCTCAGATGAGCTGCGCATTTTGGTATCTCGTATATTTTTGCAGAAACTGGCTTTAAATTAAATGTTTTAGAGGAGTAGCGTTAATGATTAGGGTATCATTTTTGTGTGAAATTAACTTCAACTATCGCGCTTATGCAGTCCTAAACACTTTTTGCGTTATTTTACATCATTTTATAGTCCAAACGGTTTCTCGTTGCCCTGAAATCGCTTGATCGTGAACCATACGGGAGATATGAAGCCACTACGTCAGCTCGCAATTGCATACAATAATTTCAGATTTGGTCAATATTGGTCATTATTTGTGCAAATTCGGATGAATTCAATATTACACAAATGTTTGGAAGGATATTTTCCCACTATTGAGCCTACTTCTATGCCGTAAAACGGCGGCGGTCTGTTTGATAGCTTTGTGTCTTGTCTTCCTAATGTCATTGATTTTTGACATGCAGATTCTGAACGATTTTCAATCGTGCGACCCGCGCCCCTCTGCAAATTTTCGGGAGATCCTTGGACAGTGGGCGCTATGACCAACCTGGACGTCCACAAGCTGAACACGTTGTGTCTACATGTCTTGTGGCACTTCGTGCAGAAATGGAATCGAACGTCTTCGGATGACGCTACGGACTCCAGTGGCAGTTCTGAATCCGATCCCGAAGACAGCTCCGATTCCGAAGAGAGCTCCGAGTCGGATTCGCACGGCAGCGACGATACCGAATCTACTAATGATGGCTCTGATTCCAATGGAAGCTCCGAGTCTGATAGCAGTTCTGAAGCCGAGTCTAATGACACCACCGACTCCGATTTCTAGGACAGCCTCGGTTCCACAGCGGATCAAACATAGTCCAACTTCGATATGTATGTAGTCGGAGAACTGTCGACCATCTTCTTTAACTAAAAAACGATGTCATAGCGCTTGATTTAGTATGTTTGTAAGCAGAGTACGAAGATACAATGGACGAACAGAAATAGTTAAGGTCCAATTAAAACGCGTTTCGATGTCCTTAATATGTTGTTCACTTTTGTGTTTCATGTACATTGTACACTAGTACATTTACGTGTTCTCACGACGCTGGACGTCTCCAGACGTCAGCCATCCTCACGATTCTGTTCATTTCTGTTCTACCAAAATAATAAGAATTACGCAAAAAAGTTCCCTGTTAATGCCAAATCCAACAAACTTGCTACACGGTGTTCTGTTTGCTTAGGGGCAAAAATGGGGATTTAGGTGCAGACTCAACGGAACAGAAAGCCAACAAGCACGCACACATCGAGTGAGCAACCGGAGTGCCTTCGTAGAATGAAACCGGAAAACGTTCCGTTCCGAATGCGGAGTCATGATAATACTACGCAGAGTTAAAAAAAACACCGAAACACCCGGTTTTCTATGCATCTCTTATGCGAAGCCGATCGGCCATCGGTCACAGGAGAATTTTATCCCGACAAATTGAAATACGACTTTTTATGCAAAATGCTGCAGTGATTTCCTCTAACAGGAGTGGATCAGTTGGCGAAAGAATTACCGCACGAAAAATCACACTACATGTCCGGCCTGTCTTTCGTGCCTGGTAGGGAGATATGACCAATGCTTCCAAAGTCACGGAGAAACCGGAGGAACTGCCTTCAGTTTTACCGATCGAAAACCATGTGTTATCGTTCTATAATAAACGCCGGGTCTGTGCTGCGGGATGCCACAACCGTGTAGGTTATACCCGGAAAGACGTTTAACGTACCATACTATTCCAAGGTGTCGCGGGCGACTAAGGATGCAGTGCCGCATTTCGGCTACTTATCTGGAAAACGAAAACGAGCTATCGTAGGTTGTTGGATGTACCGATACGCACTACGCAGTACGAATACTCCGCCATTATACTCGCTGCCATTTTATAGCAGATCGACACGACAGATTCTGCCGCTTTTTATCAAGATTAACAGCAGTGATCTTGCTGCTTCCTACAAATCGAGTCTCCGATATCACATGCTGGTGCAGCGTCTCAGTGAAGGAAGCTATGATTAGGAAACGAGCGCAACTGCGCTTTCGACTACACTGGACTGTCTGGACATAATTGTTCGCGTATTGTGGGCGGCGCCGGCGAGCCGGTTACTGTTGTGCTATACAGTGGACTGCGAAAACCTGTTATATTCGGTCACACAAGAAGTTGAACACTTGCACGTTGCGCATTTCCCAACGAAAACTATCAACCGATATCTCAAACGAAGAGCAAAAAATTTCAAGAATTTTGGTACCAAACAGGTGATCCTTTATGAGACGTAAAAGAAAATTTTTTAAAGAGCCATTTTAGTTTGTCGTAGACAAAGCATACGATTTCTGTGTGAAAACTGAATCCAAACAGGACCAAACCGTGGATTCAAATCCTATGCTATGTCTACGAGAAACTTTAGGTGCGTCGATTCTCCCTTAGATCCCATAAAAAACAAATTGCTTGGTATTAAAATTCTTGAAATTTGTTTCTCTTTCGTTTGAGATATCGGTCGATGGCTTTCGTTGGGAAATGCGCAAGGTGCAAGTGTTAATACCAGCAGGCAGATGGCCAATCATGAATTTGGCTGTTTCAGTACAGAAAAGTGCCTCGTTGCGCGCGTTGTAACACCTTTTCGCAGTCTACTGTTGGACCACGTTGGCAGACGTTGCATGAATAATCGATAGTGGACAATCGACAAAGGGACGATTACAAAACACTAAATTTGACCGGCACAAAAGGATCTCATATTTGTTTTTGGACTTTACAGTAGTATTAATTTCTGATCCACTATGCAACATTGTTCACTAGAAGTATGTATTTCACACTTTTCTTTAACACAAATACGTAAGGTGGGTTTTAGTCTTATCGTATATTTTTTGCTTGTTTAGCACTTCAATATGCGCTACTCGACCGGCTACAGACACGATTCGACGGCTGCATACGAGCCGGTAAATTCCAGCCGCTCTCGTTCAATATTAAAATTGTGATGCAAAATATCAGCGTATGCCTGCTATTGCAGAGCACACTAGTGCGGAGAAAATAATAGCACTATCGATTTTTCTGAAGTATTCCGCACAGTCGCACAGGTCTTCTCTTTTGGCATAAGTCACTATTTACCTGGCTCAGTATTTTCAGTTGGACGCTTTTTGGAGCTACCAAATAGCTCATGCGGAGCAAATAGCAAATAAATTTTCAGTTGGAGTCAATTATTCTGTAACGGGTCAGCTGGTTAAACTTCTTAACAACAACTACAATTACTTCTTAACAAGTTTTCCTTTTACGGATTATGCTTCATTAAGTATTACAGTTGTTGATTCAGCGTATGTACTTGATTGTCAAGCAGTTCGATGATTCTGCTAAAGATTGTGGCCTGCTTCGTAGCCAAAGAAGTCCACTATGTATCTCTACGAAGACGGTACGCGGTCTGTACAGGCATGGAATGCGGTGGATGTTGAAATCGACGGTCTGTTCCAGCATGGCCATATCGTTGGCCTGGAAGAGTCTGCTAATATTTCGCCACGCCTGATCATCGATTTCGGATGCCCGTCACAGCGGTCGGTGCTGGTTGACTATGCGAAGGTATTTACCTTCTCCACCTCTTCATCCTTCCAACCGCATCAGGAAGCTGTGGAGGTGCTGCTGTTCGATCACCCGGGTCGTCCATGGACCTGGTATCCCGGCAACATCCTCATCCATTCTTTCGCCAACTTATACGACCAAGCACTGGTGGAGATACTGCTATGCGGGCAACTTCTTCGCGAACTGCTTCCCGACGAACAGATTCGCCGGTGGCCCTCGGACAAAATAATGCAGCGTAAGCGCCTTCAAGCAGGGGATTTCGTGAAGCGGACGTGCAGAGTGCCAAACTAGATTCTGAAGGAGCGCTTCACGTCGGAGCTGCTCCGCCGAGTTGAGCGGAAGTTTCGTGTGCGATTTACCGGCGTACTCGGCCGAGAGATGCACTATATACAGCAGCACGCCAAAGTCCTTTGGACGATGCCACGATCGTAAGTTTTGTCACGACACTCAGTTTTGAATGGGAATTGCCTTATGGGGTGGCTGGTTTTCTGACAGGGAAGAGGGGCAGAAATTTCGTGTCTAAAGAGAAGTAGTATTGCGGAAAACTTTTGCGACCTGCACCGAAAACAAATTTGCAATGAATCTTGTAAAGCGTCACAAATGCGAAGTGCCGTAAGAGTGACCCGTTGTTAACAAATGCCGAAGTACGAAAAAGGTGCGTGAATGCGAGGAAGCGAAAGTTCCCGTTCGTCACTGACGTACAATTCGGTACTTTGTATCGGGACATCTTCCTTAAGTCCCGTCTGCCGTGCTTCCTTTTCTTGTCCGATTATTTAGATGCTCAGGCACAATATGATCCAAAAAATGAGAAAATGGATTTGACATGTGTAAACACCCAATTTTTTATGGTCAAAGCCGGTGGTTTGGAATAGGCAAAAACAATTGAGCGTTATTTGTGATTGGGAGCGGATAAAATAACTCAGGTTTCCTATGTTTACGTTTCCTCACCACAGGCGAACGTTTTGGAAAGGAAAAGGCGAGAATTCGTACGCAGTGGCAAATGCTTGTCGGCTGATTCTCGTTGCCTTGGAGGGCCGGACAGGAAAATGCAGTTCGGTACTGACTGGCGCGGTTGGGCATTGCCCACGGAACTCTTCAAAGAGGTATTCCAGTCACTGGACACCATCGATCAACAGCGCTGTCGACGCAGCTGTCAACTGTGGGACGCCATTCAAATTTCGGCGGAGGTGTGCAAAGTTGTACGTGTATCGCACAAGCGTCCACCTTCCTCACCGCGGCTCGCGAAGAAATGGAACGGTTGTTATGCCGCATACGGTTGCATTTTTAAGCACATTTCACCAGCAACGCGAACCATCTGCCTTCAAGATGCTAAAAAAGACTGCGACGATCAGAATTTGAGAGACGCCGATGAAGCGATGGCGTGCATTCAGAAAGTTTTGAACGAAGCCGGCTTTCGCATCGAGCGTTTGATCACCACCACCGATCACTGACCATCGACCAGGGTGAACCCAGTCCACTGAAGTTGAGCATGGTTTTGCCGCCATAGCTGCGTTACATTCCAAGCTAGCGACCTTCTGTGACCGCTTGATTTGGAAAAAATATTCCCTGAAATGCGAAAACAGCAGCGGTGCGAAAGTGCTGGAATTCCGCGTTCCGGTTTCAGTGTTCGTTCTAGAAAATGTGGGAGAAGCACAGATTTGGGATATATTTGAGCAACACCTGCGCTGCGGGGACCCGGCGTTAGATATGGACCGCATCGCCCAGTGGACAGCCAGGTGCACCGACAGGAGTGCGAAAACCAGGAGAATCCAAAAGGTACTGTATTTACAAGGTTTTATGTGCTGCACATGGCAATTCGCCAAAAGTTTTTCTTATGTTTAATCTTCATATCTGAGCTTCGCATTTTGGTATCTCATAGATTTTTGCAAAAACTGGTTTTAAAATAAAATATATTTCAAGAGAAGTAGCTGTGGCCTCATAGGGTATCATTTTCGCGCGAGTCCACTTCAACTGTCGCGTTCGTGAACCCCAACCCTTTTTTGTTTTTAATTACTACGTCCTTTTATCGTTATTGGTACTTTATATTGGTATATTTTGTTTTTAATAGTATTTATTATTATTTTCAGTTTTTATTAGTACGTCATTTTAGAGCCTAAACAATATTTACATGGTCCTGAAATTGCTTGAACGTGAACGATACGGGAGATATGAAGCACACAACAACAATTTGCTCCCGATGACATATTTTCAAATTCGGTCCAAAATGGTCTATATTTGTACAAATTTTGATGAATTTATCACTACATGCACCAAAGCTCGGAAGACGGAAGGGGCAGTGAGGCACTAATAA